GAAGAGCTTGTTTGACCTATCACTTGATTCACGACATTTCGAATCAGTAACACCTCGCTTGAGGGATATATATTTCCAATGAAGAGTTCATAATGAGAAGAACTCATTATAAAGGAGAAAGTTCATAATGAGAAGAACTTGTTCCTTTCAAATTCACCACAGATGGAGGTGAACAAACATTTCCAGAAGAGTTCATAATGAGAAGAACTCGTCCTAAAGGAGAGTTCATAATGAGAAGAACTCATCCGACAGAGGGATAAGAAGTTCATAATGAGAAGAGCTTGTTCGACCTATCACTCGATTCACGACATTTCGAATCAGTGATGCCTCGCTTGAGGGATCAACATTTTCAGTGAAGAGTTCATAATGAGAAGAACTCGTCCATAAGAAAGAAGAATTTCATAATGAGAATAACTTCTTCAATCCAACAACGAAGGAAGACTGGACAAAAACTGGTTGTCTTTTCATCTTTGCATTATTCTTGTTAACACAAGAATGCGCAAAGAGGGGCAGCTGTAGACACCCGTTTTTGACCGGGATTAAAATATATATTATAAATATTAATTATATATTATTATTATTATATCATTAATATTATTATTACACTTTTGTTGCAGGCCCAATATAACCCGAGCCTAAACATTCATGATTGCAAACAATGAGGAAATGCTATGGTGAGGGACTTCCCAAAGCATTATGCTTGGTGAACCATATCGGATAACAACGATGTATCAATCTTCGACGGTAGCCATGTTTGGGTGGATCATAACTCCTTGTCAAAAATGTAATGATGGTCTGGTTGATTCCATTCATGGGTCCACCGCAATCACCATATCAAACAACTATATGACTCACCATGATAAAGTCATGCTCGTGGGGCACATTGATTTCTTCACTCAAGACAAGAACATGCAAGTCACAATAGCAAAGGGGAGGGGACAAAATATCATTAATAATGAGCCAACCACTACATTGAAAAACATTTAGAAAAACAAAATAAATCCCGTATAATCCGGGATTCAACCTGCTACAACCAGATTTCATCGATCAAAGTCATCACCAAATTATTGACTTGCAACCATAAAAGGACAGAGAACAACGAGCAATAAAAGGGGGGAGATGAGAAGAATAAGAAAAAAAAAGAAAAATAGGGGAATTGAAAAAAGATCGGAATCCTATTCGAAACACTGGTAACAAAAAGAGGGGGTTTCTTTTTCTTTAAAGAAAGAACTGTAAACAGGGGAAATATTCCATCTATCTATTCGAAAGCAATAAAAGTATTTTTGAGGTAATCCTAGTTTCGTTTTCAATTTCCAGTATATATTACTTTATTTGTTTTTTTATTTCGAACCCAAATCAGCAGTAGAACAATCTGTTATTTATGTTTATAACCATTTTCATATTCCAGTAATTAACCCAAAGAAATCAACGCATGTTTGATCATAAGTAAAATAAGTAGGTTGATATAAAAATAATAATAAACAAAGAGGATTTGGGGTTTATTTACCAAAGATGTTTGGGTTCCCTCACGGGAATTTACCACACTTTGGTGAGGTTACTGTCGCCACTGAACGACAGTTTGCATGCTAGTTTAATTGCTGTAATTCAATGAATGTAATAGTTGGTTTCCATTAGTCACTATTTGAGAGTGTAAGAGATAAAAAAATCATAATAAAGAACGAATAGTCAAGAAGAGATTTCTTTGCTTACCTTGTTTATTCAAATCCTTATCGTTTTTTTAAAACTGTCGGGTAGTTTACGTCGCCGGGAATAGGTCAATTCTTGTCGTTTGAAACCTTGTTTGTCGTGTATTTGCGTTAGTTCTCGCCTTTCAAAACTTTAAAATAAAATAGAGATAACTTAGACTGTTTACCTTTTGAAGCCAATAGTTGAACTCTTTTGAACACATCCTTTCTTTGTAAGACTAAAGGAATAATCTTGAGAGGTAAAGGAGGAATCAAAACATCTGCAAATAAACATAATAAAAATATAATAGAAAATAAATCTAAAAAATGAAAGGAAAGTAGTTTACTTCTAAGATCAGTTATTAGGCAACCATAGATATGTATAAGAGAAAGTGGAGTTGATTTTTGGGCTAGGAACCGACCAACATTTAGGAGGGTGTGAGCGGCCGAGAAAGATGAGCGGGATTGAGAAGGGTTTCAATTAGATAATATCGAAGAATAAGAAAAAGATGGGAGAAGAGAAATGAAGAAGGAAAACGGCACAGAGGGAGAAACAAATAAAAATTAGGGCAAATTTCATTTTAAAATAATATGTTTATTAAATCTTTAAAATAACGTCTTATGAATGTTAGGGAAATATATATTTCACGCATGGCCTATTTGTTATGTAAACCATTTAGGTTTTACTTGTAACTCATTTTAGTCCTAAAATCAAGTCTTTGATGTTTTAATTTGGTCTCTTCATTTTATGTATATTTTATTTTAGTCCTAATTGTTTGTTTATTTAATTTTGGTTGTTTAGAAATTTAACCTCTAATTTTCTGCACGTTTTTTAGTCCTATGCATATTTAAGGTTTATTGTGATGTTAGTTCCTTACAATGGTGTTTTGTTTTGTGTCAGTTTCATTTTATAGTATAATTCTGGAATTTTCACTTTAATTATTGTATGGTTTGTATTTAAAATACTAAAGATATTTAATCAATATTTTCATTTGTATAGTTTTTTTAAAAAAATTTGTAGTTTGATGTGGTATGTTTTATTTTTTTAAGTCATATTGATTCATAACACATTAATATATATGAATAAGTTATAATATGTAATTATAAAATATGTATATAATTCTTGTATAAAGATGTCATATTGCATGATAATTTTTCATATATTATTTTAATATTTTTATGTGAATGAGTCAATGTGGTTCTATTAATTTGTTTTTTTATTTTTTTATGCAAAACGTCAATTTTTAATTTATATTTAATTCGTATTTTATCACTAAAGATAAATATTTTTTTTTATGAATGAGAAATAGTTTGAATAGGTTTCCCACGGAGGATACCAAATTTCAAAAAAATTTATCGAGTTAAAAGATTTTCTTTAAATTACTAGTTCGAAGCAATTAATTAAATTTCAATAAATGGATCATAATTTAATTTTATATTTAATTCATGATTTTCACCATTTACGACAACGTGTAAGCGAACAGTAGCAATTTTGGGCGCTGTGGGGGTGCTAATCCTTCCCCACGCGTAACCGACTCCCGAACTCGTTTTAAACAAATCTTTGGTAAACGCAGACCAGCTTTTGTCTTAAAAAAATGATTTTTCTTAAAATTGTTTTTAAAAGACGTTTTTAGGTATTCGACCTACCTAACCCAAAGGTTGATGGCGACTCTTTTTAATTCTTTTTAATTTATTTCAAATTACTCCAAAATCACCCATTTTCCAAAATTAAAAGTCGTAACTATTTTTAAAACAATTAAATGATTGTCCCTTCGAAAAACGGTTACGACAAAGCGCATTCACATCCCCATCGACGATTTCCTTTGCTTTACCTCTTTGAAGTGCATTGTATAGGTCTTTACGTGTAAATCCAACATTATGATAGCCCCCTGCCTGTTGCGTTAAATAGTTCATTACTTGTGACGTGCAAACACCGACCTCTTTCAATGTTGTTGCCTCATCGATATCAGCCTTACTTACAGCTCTATTAGAACGCATAAATGATGTCATAGCAGGTGTGCACAATGCATGATTATGTTTCTGATAAGACTTATAACCCACTGATCGTTTGATTTGTTGTTGTAACGACAACTCTAGCCTTGCATCCTGTTCTTGTGACTGGCGTATGAGCACGTTGACGATCAACAGTATTGACTTTTGATACTCGAAACCCTTCTTTGGAACAACAAAATTCTTGTATCTTCAATTTCCCTTCCATGTCAAGCCGTGTTGTTCCCGACGTGCACTAAATCCATGTTCCTGTGTGAATCCCTTGTAAAAATACCAAACTTGATCACGTGAAGAAAATAACTTACCAACCAATATGTCAGATTCATCAAACTTTGTCACATTCACACAAATCAAAGCCAGCCTGTTTTCAACACGGACTGTACCCATTTTTCTTTTTGCAGATTAATCAAACCATAGACTGCAAAATTCTACCGCAAATCTCGGTTCAAAATGCATCAATTAAGTAGCTAGTGCCGTGACACAAACTCTTAAAACATCATATCAACTATTCACGTTAGATGGAGAAAACACCATATCAATTAAGACGAGAGGACCCTAGCCCCACCCCTGGGGAGAAAAACTTTCCACTTGAATAATGGGAATTTTCGGTTATACTCTACTAGAAAAAAAAATTAAATTCGAATTGAGTTATAAAATAAAATTCGAATAACTTAAATAATTCAAAATTTTTAGAAATTGATGAATTAATTTTCAAATTTAAATCAATTCCCTCAACTTTATAATATATATATATATATATATCACATATGAAAATATATATATATATATACACTTATTTAAACTGGAATCAAATTATTTTAATAGTACTAAAATTAAGTCCCGCCCCTCCTAATATTTTTGTTTCATTTATTCTTTAGGCTATTACTTTTAAAAGTACTAAAATTATATCATGGTCTCTCCCAAAATTTTTGTTTCATTATTCTTCAAGCCCCATTAGTTTTAAGGGTAAAGTATACAAATGGTCTTCTGATTATAGGATTTTGTAACACCCCTAATTTAGTTTTATTTTAACTAGATCTTTTATTTAATTAATTTAAGGAACTAGTTTGAGTTTTTAAAGTTTAAGGCCAGTTTTCTGATTTCTTTGAAAGTTCAGGGACTCATTTCTTGATCTGACCATTGTAAGTAATCAAAGAAAAAAGGGGTAAAGAGAATGCGACTGGCACGGTTTGATATTGTGACCAGCAGGAGCAGGGGAGCCATGCCCTAGCCACTAGCCTAGGGCATTGTTTGTGTTAGTATTTCTTTTAAAATACTTTTTAAGAGATATCAGTTGGGATTTTTAATCCCAAAATCAGTTTTATCTTAGCTAGAACAAAAAATTCCCAATTATTTTTAACCCCTGTCGTCGTTGTCTTTTCCCTTGAGCCATCACCGTCCGATAGTCATGGCAGTCACCGCCACCAACATCTTGATCGCCGCTCAACCGCGACCAAACCCCCTCAACCAATTTGTTGAAATACCTCGCCATTCATCGTGAATTGGCGTTTATTTGGTCGTCGAAAACCCAAAACAACTGCCGCGAGTTTTCACAATTTTGTGTTGAGATCCCGATGCCAGTTCGCATCACCGCCACCACCGTTGGACTTCTCATCTAGTTCTGTTCAAAACCCGATCAGGTTCGTTACTTCACCACCGTTCTATCATTATCCTCCGTTGGTAAGCCTCCGATCTCCTTCTCCGTTCATCGTACGTTGTGTTGGTTGGATTTTTTGGCTGTTTTGAGTTGAATGCAACAAGTAGAAAAGTTGGGAATGATCAGTCGATCGAAATCATACCCTTCATCCTAGCACGCGCTGCCACGCGCTGCCACGCGCCACCGTGGCGCATGGGCTTCGTTCCTTGTTTGAATTTTCCAGAACCGGTCCAAGTCAACTCGAAACAGACTGAGTCAACTTAGATCGATCTGAGCCAACCCAAAGTGGTCAAATTATTAACTTTGACCGAACCTTTGACTTTGACTCAGACCATTAACATTGATCAATATTGACTTTAACTAGGGTTGACTTTGACTAAAAAGTAAAAAAATTTAAAAGGCATATCTTATATTTTTTGACGTCTTGAGTCTGAATTTAAAGTCTTTTTTGCCAAATTTTAATCCAAAAGCCCCTCAAATCGTGTGTTAAACCCCAACATGTATATGTAATTAAATTATTTTAATCAAGTGCTTTTAAGGTCAATGACTGATTGATGTTTGTTAATTATTGAAGGTACTCGATACTCTCACGATCGCTCGTCAGCTTGACTCAGCTCCTCTCAATTTGTCATACTGCGTGAGACCGTAATTACTCGTATAGATTCATAAACCATATAAATAATTAGATTTAAATATTATTTAAGTCGTAATACTGAATTCATTATGGTTTAGGTTCGAGTTCTGCTGTAGAGCATAGCGAGGCCAGTGCCCAGTAGACTTCCTTGGCTGATTCATTTTTTAGGTGTGTTCCTGGTGTGCTATATAATTGTTTTATTTATTTTTGAAATATGATGGTTGTCTGAATTGTTTTGTAAATGTTTTAATTGATAAATACCATGATTTCCTGATTTCTTGATTATGAATTATGTTTACTCGATACATGTTTTCTGGTTATCTGTTTTACTAAGAAATATAAATATATATGATTTATGGATCATGGACCTATTGTTACTACATGTATTGTTTTATTTTGGATACTATCTGGGTAGGCTAGAGTATGGAGGTTCAAGTTTGATCCAGCTTGTAAATCCTTACGGACCTAAGGTGAACCTTGGGTAGGCTCTTAGTCCCCGAGATATTCCCTTCGGTAGGCTCTCAAGACCCAAGGTGCTTCCTTGGGTGGGCTCTAAGGCCCCAAGGTATTCCTTGGGTAGGCTCTAAGGCCCTAAGGCATTACCTTATGTTGGCTCTTAGGTACAATTGGCCTAGGATAAACCCTTATGAATGCAGTTCTGGGAAACTACATATAGTATATGGGTGGAAGGAACTAAATATTTATTTTTCACAAAAATCTTTACTGTCACTCTTATGAAATTTCTACTGAATTATTTTCTGAAATTTACTATTTTAAATTATTATTCACTTTTGGAACATATTAAGCTCTCTATCTCACCTCCCAAATTTTTCCCTTTCAGATACTTTTGGATAGGAACCCTCGGACTAGGCATTTGGAGGGCCGACACATTTCGTTCCAAACTTTTTGTTGCAATGTTTCCATCTTTCGTATTGCCTTTATTTTGGTGAGCGTGCTTGTATTTTGATATATTGCTTTTTGCTGCATGGATATTTACGATATTTGTTATTTGGAATTTCGTACTAAGCATGATGATTTATGTTTAAATTACTCAAATTAAACTTTATTATTATTAATTTATGCTTTTAAAAGCCTTTAGTTATGATATTATTTTTAAAAAGGGTTTAAAAATGTTTTAGAAAAATTTCAATGTAATTCACTAGACCTAGTCGTGACACATAGGTTGGGTCTAGGGTGTTACATTTGGTTGGCATCAGAGCTTTTGGTTTTTAAAACATCGGATCATAGATGAGTCCTAAATAAAAATATTATCTTTAAATGTTTTACAAAATTTACTATAAAGGCCATGTTACCAATTTTTATAAGTTTAACTGTGTATGAGACTCCAAGTGCCAAATCTAATCCTAGATTTTATCTTTTGTAATGAACCTCAAGTTTTTTCGAATTGAGTGCTAGATGGGGTCATCGACCTTCCCGTGCGCGAGGTCGACCTGTTAGATTTTTTTATTCGATTGAGGACCCACCGCTGCAAGCAATAGATACTCTTGCTCCTTCTGGCCCTTTTGCTCCAATAGATCTACAGCATGCTCCCCAAATTGATATGATGAAACATATTAGAGGAGCGTCAGTTGCTGGGATTGAACCTGCAGGAGTTATTTTGGATAAGACGTTGGGTAGACATTTACTTTAGTTGATTCAGGGTGTAATCAGAGAAGTGAGTGCCACACATGAGGTTCCTATTTTATAGACCCTGCTAAGGCTAAATTTGGAGGTTCGACTGGTGGACCTCCTACTGAGGCTGAGGTTAGCTCTATGATACTAAGAAACATATGGATCAACTGGGTTTGGATCCACATGAGATATATTTGGGAGCCATTTTGATGTTGGATGGAAATATTCATACCTGGTGGGAGTCTGTGGTGAGCAGCGTTCCTACTGATCATCTGACATGGGATTTCTTCAAGGAGTGCTTCAGGAAACGTTTCCTTGTAGAGCTTTATCTGGATGAGAAACAACAACAATTTTAGGATTTAGTCGAGGGAGATATGACAATATCTATGTATAAGATGGAGTTTTTGAAGCTAATAAAGTATGGTGAAAGTTTGGTTCCTAATGATAGGGACAAGTGTCGTGAGTTTGCTCGATGACTCAAATATGAATTGCGTAGATAGGTGGTTACTCATCAGGATGATGTGCTTGATGCTTTGGTAGATAAAGAAAAAGAAATTGAAGAGGTTAAGGTTGTAGCTCCTGATAGAGGCTGAGTAGATCGAGAGTGATCTAAGAGGTCTTCTGGCCCGACTGAGTCTTCTGCACGTCCTGGGAATAGGACTCGTACTGTTATTCCCCATAGAAGTAATACTAGTTCTAGGTCTACAGCACATCCGCTCTCAGCTGTTAGATGAGGTGATTTTTAGGGTTTCCCTAAGGTGTATATTTGCGAGTTTTGTGGAAACCTTATACTAATGGGTATAAGGTTTCCCTATGGACGCAGTTATGAGAACTGCATATGATGTACGAGAGAAGGGTATATTATATGATTTAATATCTTATGTTTTATCAGGATTTCCATGATACTTGACAGGATTATAATTGATAGTTTTTCATATGATGTTTTTACTGAAATAATGGGAGACACACTGAGCCTAGCTCACTTTTCGAAAATGTTTTTCCCCTTTCAGATACTGTTGGCTAGATACCCCGGATCAAGCACTTGGAAGATAACATCTTGAAGTACATCTGAATGTAATGGTTTTATCATGCAAGTTGACTTTACTATTGGAACATGGGCCTTATTTTAAAGTATTGGATTTATAATGATTACTCTTTTGCGATTTATATTCGATTTATCTTAATTTAGATTTTAATACATGTTTTTAAATTAAATTGTTACTTTTTTAAGATTATATTTATGAGTTGAGTTTTTATAGTATAATCTATTATAATTTCATAAAATGTCATTTATAATGTGATTTTACATTGATTGAATAAAGGTTTCGGAAAATGTTTCTAAGAATCATGAATGTGATCCATTAGGCTTAGTCAAAACACATAGGCTTGGTCTAGGGGTTACACATCAGCACCAACCAGCATTATCCTGGCAGGAGGTTGATTGCCTGCAGATTATCCAATTGGACCTGCAGCAACTCCACTTCATGGTTCCATGCTTCAAGTAAACCAAGATATATGCTCCACAATTCATCTTGGAAAGGGTGGGAAATACTAATAACTTTATGAAATTCAAAGAGCCAAGATCCATCATGCGTGCATCCAACACCACCCACATTGCTAGAACCGGAAATAGCGTGGATAGAAGCATCTGTATTAACACAGCACCACCGATTTGGTGGAGGCTGCCATTGAATTTGCACAGCATGCCGAGACTTTGGAGACGGCTTGGGAGGAGGAACAACAACAAAATGCGAGGACCAAGAGATGCTAAGCTAGAGCACGTCATCCATGGAAGGGTATGAGTCGGTGAAGACAAAAGAGTTTCGGTGCTTCCAAATTTGCCAAAGTAATGTGGGGAAGAGAACGTCCCAATGCAAAGACGAATCCGGAAGCTTAGCACAACACGCCAGATTGGTTTGGATCTAATCACCGAGGCAGCTTGTGAAAAAAGAATTAGCAAGGTCCTCAGGCAGCAGCTGGCTCCAAATAGACTTCACTGCATGACAGTCACATAAAATGTGAAGAGTGGTCTCTTTGTGAAGTCCGCAGAGGGAGCAAACATGATACGGGGATGATCCACGGCGGAATCGTTCATAGTTTGAAGAGATACAATCCCTGAAAACTAGCCAAAGGAAAGTGAAAACACGTTGCGGGAATGGGTAAGGTCCAAATCTTATTCCAGATGGAGGAAGGAGTAAGCCATGAAGCTTCAACCAGCTTTCGACAGGCATCCCGAACACGGAACCTATCCATAAAATCATGTTTCCATAAACAACGGTCAACATCAGCATCGTCACTAGGGGCTTGACGATTAAAATCAATTTTTAATTGTCTTCAAAATTGTATTTCTTTGATGTATTTTGCGGCACCCTAGATACCAATGAATTCATTTAATCAATTTTTATTACTTGATTTAAAATTTATTAAAATCTTTTTAAAATTCATAAATTAAATATAAAATGTTCATATTTTAGAGGAGTACGAGACTTTCTAAATTTTTGAAAGTTTAAAATATTTATTTTAAAATTTAAATGGTAATAAGAATTCTTTCGAAAATTTGAACATATTATATAAATTGAACTGTAGTTTAAAAACTGTTTAGTTCTCCTACTCAAACTTAAATTGGACCGGTCCAATAGATAACTAAATTATTTAAACAGAAAAATTTTATATTAATATTTAGTATTTTATAATTAAATTAAAAAGATTATAGTATGATACTATAATTTTCTAATTTATATTGTTTTACAAATTAAAGAGTTTACCTGGCCTAATGAATATGGAGCTTGCCTCCGGAGCAAGAGATTGTGGTTTCTATTCCCATCATGAACGACAATAGAGACTCAAAACCACAAGCATAAACTATTGTTTGGGTAACTCACCAGCACAAACTATTATTAGTGGCGATGGACTATATGTCACCAATACCACCAAGCAAACCATGGAAAACTATCAATTATCAGGTCATGGACAAGATTAAAAAAGTCGAGACAGAGGAAAATATAAAAAAAAATACAAAATAAGTACGATCATTTTAGTTATAAGTGTAAATAACTCCTAAAAAGAAAGAAAAATAATTCATGGTCTACTCTCTCTTTGTCACACCCCCAAAATGGGGTTAATTGAAAACATTTAAAGTTTGGTGCATTAGGTGAGTTCTCTCAAAATGTAAGGAATTTATTTCAATTTGACCAAGCCTAAAATATTCAAATGCCAATATTTGTTTTTGGCTCTCATTTCCTCCCCCAATTTTTTTTTTAAAAATACACCCATACATATTTTCTCTCTCAAGCTTACCCATATCGGTTTTTGTCTGTTTTACTGCCACCTGAACCACTGTGGATGACACACCGACACCAAAATGTTCAACTCATCATTTTCGTCCTGTCAGTGGTTGCGCCTTCTTCACCGTCATTGTTGTTTGCAAGATGGGCTAGAGGAATCGTTTGAGTTTCGTAAAAACAAAATCACCAATGTTCACCGTCGCGAACCAACTCCGGTAAGTGACTCGTCGTGCATTAAAATAGTTTTATGGAAAATTTTGTGCGAAAAAGATCACCGAATGGTGTCTCCCGCGCCCTCACGTGCCACGGTGCGAGTGTGGAAGAGTTTCTGTGGTTCAAAAATGTTGAACCAGTCCATCTAAACAGGCCTGGCCGAATTGACCCTGAATGGGTTGACCGAATCAGACCCTTTTACTAGTTGATCCGATCCATTGACTCAACTCGTTGACCCGATTCGTTAACCATTGATTGTTGACTTTTTTCGTTGACCGTTGACTTTTTTGAAAACCTCTGTCTTGATATTTTTCGACGTCTTGAGTCCGTTTTAATTATCTATTTTGCTAAATTCCAACCCGAAAGCCCTATTTTTGCATATATTAATGCTTTACAATATAGTTATGATAAGTAAATTATGAAATTTATGGTCTTACCCTATGATATTATGTTATGAAGGTGGTCGTATGTCTCCCCACCGTTCTCTAGAAGGTTTGTATCACTCCTGTTTAGCTCAGCTTGACTTTGCTCGTTCGATTGGAGATACGCGACCTAGTGCTATTGTGCGTGGAAATTGTAAAGCATAGCTGGTATAGGTTAATTGGTATGTGTGTTCTCTTGACCAATTTATTGCATATAATATTTTATGCTATTTTGCTGCATAGTGATATTTATATGTATGTTCTTATTCGGACATTTACCTTTGATCTATCTTATTTCTGATAATGTTGCATCACAGTGAACATGTATATGGATGTACTCCTGATTTTGCATGGGATCCTCTACAAAGGGAAATCTGTATCCTGATTCTGCATGAGCTCAGTCCCCGTCCTGATTCTGCATGAGATTTCGTTCCCCGTACTGTGAGATTTATTCCCATCTTGTTTCTGCTTAGGATCTTTATCGGAGAAACTATATTCTTATCCCGATTTTCTGTATCCTGACTTGAGTTCCTCTTTAGAGGGTAACGTCCCCATCTTGTTTATCTGTGGCGGAAGTTATGGGTGTGTATTAATGATGCTACACTATGATGATTAAATCCCGATGTGCCAATTATGCATTATTTGTTTGTTTGTTTTTTTTTTCTCATCAAAAATTCTTTAATATAAAATTATAAAACCATGGTCAAAGTAGAATGCCTTATTAAAAACCTCCCTAAACTTAGTTGGAGGGAAAAAAGCACATTCAACTTGACAAAGAAGAAGAAACCATCACAAAGATCTCAACCGAAAAAGAAACACCCAACAACGCAAGTCACTCCCCTGCAGACTAACGCCTCAAAACCAAACTTACAAGAATGCAAAATAACCCAACGGACTAGGAGCAAAACATTAAAGTTTAAGCAGCACAGTGCTCCTAGTCGTCACTATAAACAAATAAAGACAAAACAAACACTAACACTTTTAACACCAACAGCCTATGAAGGACCTAGTTCAGAACAAGCCAACTTAACAAAAACAACCACTAAGGCAAAGTTGAAATAGGGTATTTTTTTTAAATTGTCGAGTTCTTAGTCCTCCAATATTGAAATGCAACTTGCTTGACTCCAGATAGATAAGAATAAGAGTTATTTGAGTCGATGAAATTTATATTATATTTTTCTACCTACAATATTCCAAAAATTTAACGTTGGGGCACGATAAGATCCTCTGGGTGCACGTTAGCAGGGCTAACGGTTCTGAGCTTCTCCGTCGCGCCTCCGGTGCTTTTCCCTCGCCCGTTCGTCGCTTGTCTCTCTAGGAAATCTCTCAACTCCTACAAATTGAACCACAACGCTAAAATCAAATGGAATGGAGAAAACTCTTCAACTGCTCAGAGGGCCAAAATCTGGAGTATTTTCCCCCTAGGGTTTGTGAAGGTACCAAATCCGTTAAACCTCCCAAAGAAGTGCTAGAAGCTGGAATCAACGACTGGAAACACTCGCTCGTGGGACAGTTCCTAGGTGTTGCTCCGAGCTTCTCCTCAACGCAAAGGTTAGTCGACAATCAGTGGAGGAAAGCTCAAAAAGGCGAAATAGTACAGGTTAGCACTGCTGGGAACCTCTTTATTTTTACTTTTGCCTCTGAAAATGCTAGGAATTAGATTATGGAGAATGGCCCATGGCATGTATCGAATAAAACTCTCATACTCAGGAAATGGGCACCAAACCTAACCAAACTTAACTTCGATCTTACTAGTGTTCCAATCTGGGCACATCTCTATAATGTCCCGCTCGAGTTGTATAATCGTCTAGGTCTTAGCTATTTAGGAAGTGCTATAGGCACTCCCCTTTCCATGGACTCCATAACTGCAGCAAAAACCCACTTATAATATGCAAAACTCTGTATTGAAATAGGAGTAAAAGACGAGATACCTAAAACCATAGAAGTGGAACTAAAAGAAGGGATTAAAGTTTATGTTTATGTTGAAATACCTTGGATGCCAGCTAGGTGCAGCTTTTGCAACACTTTTGGTCATAACGAAAAAACCTGCTTGGCATCGAAGAACTCTGCTCAAGCTAAAAAACAAGTTTGGAAGATAAAAGAGAACTTAGAAACAGAGAACATACCTATTGTAGGTGGGATCGAGCTGCTGCAAGAAAGAACTACTTCCTCTTCAGTCACTATAAACGTTGAACTAGGCACTAAAGAACCAGTAAACAATGAGGAAGAACTGCAGTCAAATTCCCCTATCGATGGAACCAGTCATGAAGCTAAAACCGATGGAAAAGATGAGCTTAACTCAGTCCATACTGTTGTTCAAAACAACCATTCTAAAAATGCTCTCTCTATTCCTGCTCCTAATGAATCGATCCCAAAGAATAATGGAGAGCCATCTCCTTCTGTTAAACGAGGAAGGGGAAGACCTCCAAAAGAGCAAGAGAAAATAAACCTTGATTCTACTAACAGATTCCAAATCCTAAATGAAGTTGAGGAATTCCCTCAGGTAATCAAAGACCTCCCGAAAAAACCTCGTGCATCTTCATTAGGAGTAGCTGTCATAATCAATGACCTCAAGTCAAAAAATAAAACTAAGGTAGACAAATCAAAGTTAAAAGTTTGTAGTGCTAGTGGAAGTTCATTAATTACCCCTCTCAAATGATTCTTGCTTTCTGGAATGTTAGAGGACTAAACTGTCCTCTAAAGCAAGACAACATTTTAAGAAGAGCTTTACTTAAAAAAGTGGATGTTTTATGCTTGCTTGAAACTAGAGTGAAAGAAGATAAAAGCGCAACAATTCTTAATAGAAAATTTGTTGGTTGGACTGCTCACACTAATTACGACTATGCTTCCAATGGAAGAATTTGGATCCTTTGGAAAAAAGACATCATCTTCTCGGTAATCCAAACCTCTTATCAGTGTATCTCTTTCCAGGGCCAGTACCAAAATGTTCCTTTTATCATCACTGCTGTTTATGGAAGCAATGATGGCATTACTAGAAGGCTCCTTTGGCATCAGTTTAAGGATCTTGAAACTAAAATTGGCAATCAACCCTGGATCCTTGGTGGAGATTTTAATATTACTCTCCACCCGAATAAAAGTTCCGATTGTGACATCTTGGGTCCTATTATTTCTTCAGATATGAGAGATTCCAGGACACTCTCATTGATCTGGAGCTCTCTGACCACCCTTTCTTTGGCCCTACTCACACTTGGAGCAACAAAAAACAGAACACATTCCTTGCTAGGAAGCTTGACCGTGTCTTGATCAATTCTAATTGGGCAAATTTATTTCAGACTTCGCATGTTGAATTCCAAGCTCCAGGAATTTTTGACCACTGCTTTGCAAAAGTTTGGCTTAATAAGGTAATTGAAGTAAACAGACCTAAGCCTTTTAATTTTTTTAACTATTAGACCCATCACCCCAACTTTCTGGAAGAGGTTAAACAAACCTGGTCCAAACCAACCTACGGGAATCCAATGCAGTCTCTCTTCACTAAACTCAAAAGGGTGAAGACTTGTCTAAAGGCTCTTAATAATTCTTCCTATAGTGACCTTCCTACCAGGGTCAAATATAAACGATCTGAACTAGAACTCCAGCAACTTAAGACTCTTCGTGGAGACGACGGCATTGAAAAAGAGCTTCTTCTCCAGAATGAGTTGAACAATCTTGAAGAAGCTGAAACTCTTTTCTACAGGTAAAAATCTAGAGTCCAATGGCTGAAGGAGGGTGATAAATGCACTAAATTCTTTTACTCCACTGTTGCCCTTAAAAACAAAAGAAATACAATCCGTACCCTCATTGATGAGAAAGGCAACAAGTTGGAAACCTATGATCAAATTTCAACTGAGATCATCTTCACTAGTTTACTTGGGAAAGTTGATCCAGCACTAAAGGGAACGGATCCTAAACTGTTAAAGGACCTCTGTCGGCATACTTGACCTCCTGAGAATGTTGATGCCCTTGTTAAGGACGTCACTAAAGAGGAGATTAAAGAGGCTTTCTTTAGTTAAGGAAACGATAAAGCTCCTGGTCCAGACGGTTTCTCTCCATTCTTTTTCAAAAAAACCTGGACTATTAACGAAAGCGACATTACTGCTGCTATTTCTCAATTCTTCAAAAATTCATATCTTCTGCCTGCTTTTAACGCTACTATCCTTGCTTTGATTCCTAAGACCCCTAACCCTAGCAAAGTTAAGGATTTTAGACCAATCTCTTGCTGTTCTGTTTTCTACAAAGCTATCTCAAAGATACTGGTAAAAAGATTAACTTGTATACTGCCTGAGTTAGTAACTCTTAACCAAACAACTTTTTTAAAAGGTAGAAACATCACAGAAAACACTTTACTTGCGCAAGAGCTAGTAAGAGGTTACAATAGAAAGAATATATCTCCTAGATGCTCTTTGAAAATTGATCTCCACAAGGCTTTTGATTCCCTCAACTGGAGCTTCATCTCTACCATCCTGCAGGCTATAGGTCTCCCTACGATTTTCATCTCTTGGATTGAAACTTGCTATACCACAGCAAGCTACTCAGTCTCCATTAACGGGAGCTTATCTGGATTCTTTAAGGGAGCTCGAGGCTTACAGCAAGAAGATCCCCTCTCTCCCATTCTCTTTGTTCTCTCTATGAATGTCCTCTCTTCCCTCCTTAATTTGGCAGTTGCCAAGGATATTTTTGGATACCACCCTAAGTGAAAAAGAATTAACTTGACCCACTTATCATTCGCAGACAATTTACTCATCTTTTGTAAGGGTTCTGCTGACTCAGTAATTGGTGTCACTAGTGTCCTGGACACTTTTTATGAGATGTCAGGACTCCAAATTAACGCCCATAAAAGTGAATTCTATGCAGCCGGAATGTCCTTGGGTACGATTGAGACTATCAAGCAAGCTACGAGCTATAATCTAGGCTATTTGCCAGTGCGTTACTTAGGAATTCCGCTGCTCACAAGGAAAATCTCTAAAAAAGACTGTGCGATCCTCATCGATAATATCAAATCTAGATTGCACCATTGGTCTAGTAAACTGCTCAGCTACGCTGGGAGATTGGAGCTCATTCGAACTGTGCTAGCTTCAATTACCAATTTTTGGTGCAGACAACTCTTCCTGCCTAACTCAATCTTGAAAAAAATCAAGCAGCTTTGTTCCCGCTTCTTTTGGAAAGTTTCTGACAAATCAGCAATAGGAGCACGTGTGAGCTGGAGCAAAATTTTCTCTTTGAAATCGGAAGGTGGTCTTGGGATCAAAGACACTAAGACCTGGAATAAAGCTTGTATGTTAGCCTTAATCAAACAAATTCTTGCTGGTGAAGGCTCACTTTGGGTAGCTTGGCTTCACAATTATGTTTTTAAGGACAAAGATTTTTGGTCAATTGAAGCTAAGCCCAACACTAGCTGGTGTCTCAGAAGACTTCTTAAATTGAGACCAGAGGTGCAAAATTTCCTTCATCTGGGTCCTATCAATGGAAGCTCGATATGGGATTCCATTCGGTCAAAATATCAGAAGGTCCCTTGGCATAAACTCGTTTGGTTTCCCCTGCACATTCCAAAACATAGTATGATAACCTGGATGGCTCTACTTGACAGACTTCCCACTAAGGATCGTCTTCACCGTATCGGTCTTACTAATGACTGCTCTTGTCTTTTATGTAACTCTGATGTGGAAACTAGGGATCACATTTTCTTATCATGTCCTACTGCTGTTTCTCTATGGGAACACATCTTCTCTTTTTCTGGCTTGCATTTTACAGGCTACCTTTGGGAAGAATTCTTGGAAATGGCGAGCTCAAATTGGAAAGGAAAATCATTGTTATCTACCGTTATGAAGATTTCTTTGAATGCATTGGTTTACTTGCTCTGGGAAGAAAGGAACAAAAGACTGTACCAAGGCCGAACTAGACATGTTAATGAACTTCTAAAGAATATCAAATTTATTGTTTGTCTTCAACTTAATGGCAGGAAATTCAATAAAATAGATAATGTGAATCTTACCCTCTATAAACATTGGGGTATTGATGACCACTGATTTTTGTATTGTAATTGTTTTGTATTGAACCCTGATTGTATTTGTAGATTTTTGCTAATTGGATAATAAAATTCTGACTTATCCAAAAAAAGAAATAGGGTCGTGATAAAAACTGACTCCTGATTTTCTTAAGCAACCAAACGATATCCACAAGAGATTGCCACCACTTCCAAGGTCTCCTTATTACCTACCGACACAATTTAATGATATATGTTTAGTGTAGAGGATATACTGGGTTTTATAGCTCACCCTGTTTTTGTCTTTCTTTTTTAAATTATCTAGTTATAGAACCAGTTAGGTTATTGGAGGTGTGGTCTTGATTATATACTGTGTGAAATTTAATATTTATTTTAACCTTTTTAAGATGTGGTATGAATTTATTTCTGATTTCATATTCGGTAAATATTTTCAAAATGATTTATCAAATAATTTTTTATTGTGGATTATTTATGTGATCAACGTGGTCACCCTGATTCAATTGTAACTCTTAGGCTGAGTCTAGGGAGTTATACTTTTAGAGATGATTCACACACAAAATTTAAAGACGAGTGAGAAGTTATGGTTACTTAAAAGAATAAAGAAAAAATAAAGATCAAATGTTTATTACTCACCAGCTTTAAAGAGTAACGTTATCAACCTTCGTAAACTTCTACAACAAATATATATATATATATGATATATAAATTTTATTCTTAATTTTCTAATCTCAATTATAATAGTTAATTAAGAATAATAAATTGATAATAAAAATGCAATGAAAATAGGGAAAAAACAGAAAAGGTTCAATACATGAAACCATACTTATATTTTGGGGGGGTTTTTTTATCGGCAATGGGTAAATTTTATTAATAAGGACCAGCTTAATTTAAAACCTCGTTAAAAACCTCTCTAGATCTAAACAGAAAATAATAGTACTTTGAACCAGGATGACAAGCACTAATAGAAGAAACAGTACACTCCAGAACATAAGGAACATTCCCTTCACACAACAAACTAACAACTACCCAAAGCATATAGCAGCAAGGAAACGATGGCCTGCCTACCAGCATGCAATGAAGTTTCAGCTCTCTCAACTGCTTGTTCTGAAACAAAATTCCCTCAAAGAGTTTTCCTTTTTACCTTTTTTTTGCAAATCTTTGTTGAACTATCTCGAACAGTCTAATGAACCACCATGGTCTCCCAATTGTGAATACAATGTATCCCATGCTCAGTCCTAGCACCAATCCACATCCATATCCCATCAATATTGAAAATTTCCAATTCATTCCATCATCATCATCATCTCTATCAAATCTGATTGGAGTTTTCCCATCATTATCACAGCTGTTTGACAATGGCAGCCCGCATAAACCCAGGTTTCCTATGTAGGAATCATTACTGAAAGTATCAAACTGTTTGCCTTGAGGAATGGGACCATCTAGATTATTATGGGAAAGGTTTAACACCTCCAAGAATCCAAGATTTTTAAACTCTGTTGGAATTCTTCCATAGAGTTTGTTTGATGAGAGATCTAATGATTCAATCTCCGACAAATCACCCAATGATGACGGGATAGAACCTGTTAAACAGTTATGAGAGAGGTTTAGGACGATTAGTGAATGAAGCTCACCAATTATTTTAGGAATTTCTCCTATGAATTGGTTGCTGGAGAAGTCAACAGCTGTCCATATGGTTAATAGTCTCTCAAACTCTGTTTCCAGTCCTTTTGTTGTAAAAGATAAACCTGTCATTATATACAGTACTTTACCTGCTGCTATATCTTTCATGTACTCTGGTCCAACTTTCTTTTCATTCACTTCTCTAATGGCATGTAAATTTCCAAAAAAGTTCATAGGTAGATAGCCACTGAAGTTATTACGAGAAACATCAATGACACGCAAACGAGTGAAGGTAAGATCAGAGCTATCCACCTTACCATAGAATCTATTTGATCTCAAGTCAAGCACTTGCAGCTGATCCGAATTTCCTAACCAATTTGGGAAAGTGTCACTCAAATAGTTGTTTCCAACATCGAGAAGCTTCAAGTCTTTACAATTACCCAAAGATCGTGGTAATGACCCTTCTATTTGGTTGTTCCTGATTCGAAAATAGAGTATCGAGCAACCTTTAACAAAATTTTCAGGTATTTTACCATGAAAATTATTCATCCCTAAGTCAAGCACCGAAAGATATCTCAAATTTCCAAAGCATTCCGGAATTGTTCCATCCAAACTATTGTTCCGTAAAGAGAGCGCACAAAGGGAACTTAAATTGCATAATGAGGAAGGAATACGGCCTTGCAGAAAATATGGAATAGAGTTAGAATTAGATGTTTGAAACTTTTTGAAACATGCATGACGCGTATAGCCAATAGGCATGATTGCTTAATTTACTTAACATAATTGGTTTTAAAAGGATTTTAGATATTCTTTTCATTATACAAAACGACGACAACAGAAAATCAGTTCACTAACAGATGGGTATGTATAACAAATACCATTTTTGCTACTGCATCAGGAAATATATTTTTGAAAAATTCACTTATATTACATGACATTCACAAATTACCAAATTTTGGACAAAATTTTCCAACGAAATAAAACAAAGTTGATATTGAAAAGGATTTTGATACATTTCTATTCATGTATCGTAACTAAATATTTTCAACTTACAATTAGAAAAAAAAACAAGGAAAATTGGTGTTCATATCGAATTGAAAAAATATATTTTAAATTGAAATCATTTTAGAATGGATTTATCTGAGTCTAATATTTAAATTATTTATGTTTGAATACCAAAAGACACATCCAATGACAAAAAAATCTTATAATTAATTAATAAATATATAACAAAATAACAATAAAAGTTCAAGAAAAAAATAAAAACAAAAAGAGGAATGAAAGTTGTATTATACCTGTCAAGTTGTTACCCGCAAAACTAATGAACTCTAAAAAAGTTATATTTCCAATAACCGATGGAATTGTACCTGAAATATATAACTAAATTAATCAAAAATAATTTGACAAAATACTTATATTATGTCTTGATGAGTATAGTAGTGTGATTGGGTATCTTTATGCTTATGTTTTTAGAATTTAGGTAACTTTATTTGTTCCGTAACTAGAACTAGAACTTACATACTCTATTTGTCTCATATTAAATAATATGACTTATGGAATACGTACAATTGGTTTCTTGATCTCCACATCCAATTGCAAGACATGAATGCGTTTTATCATTTTCATCAATTGAAGACATTTTATATACGTTGCAGAAGTTTGGACTACTCAAATAGTTAAAAGTTGTACTAATTTTTAAGAGCCAAGAATATTACTATGTTAATAAAATAAATTGAAAAGCTAAAATAAATTAGGACAATATAATTAAAAACTTCAATGATAAAAAACTCTTTTATATTTAAGAACATTATTAAAGCAGGATGAATCATTTAACTTACCTGAAAAGTTGTTGTAATGGATGAAGAAAAATTTAAGTGAAGTTAAATTTGAGATTTCTAATGGTATGGTTCCCTCCAAATGATTTGTACCCAAATCTATATATTCCAACTCTTTGCATTTGAATAAACTCATTGGAATTCTTCCATAAAGTTGACATCCACCCAATCCAAGATGACGTAATTGAGGAAGATAATCGAATGTATTGGAAGAGAGAGAACCAATTAGATTGTTGCATCCCAGAGAAATATGTAGCAAAGAGGAAATGTTGAAGATTGACGAAGGAATAGAACCTGCAAAATAAATAATCAAACTTCAATTGGCACAATGGAAATAACAGCCTTAAACTATGATCAAATTTAGAAGATTTGTATCAGTCTAAACTTTAACCAATTATTTCATATCGTCTACACCCAATTTAATAAAAATGTTTTTATAATTAATCACAACATTTTTTCTTCTTCTTTAAATTGGGTTAACATCAAATGATAGCTTGATTATATTGTTTAAAGTTATGCTTTAAAATGGATATTGAGTTATTACCAAAATTGAATTTGAATATTATTTTTCTCAGCAATAATGTACTACAATGAGGTTAAATTGAAGTTTACCGTCATTTTTACCATTAGGCATAACACAACTAACGAAATAAGGGAGAACGAAATGCAAATGAAAAATTGTTTACCATTGAAGTTGTTGTTAGCAAGACGCAAAGATTGGAGCACTATCAAATTTCCGATTTCCATGGGTATACTTCCTTCCATAGAGTTGTTCCTCAATGATAAATACCTCAACTCTTTGCATTTGAATAAACTATTAGGAATGCTACCAGAAATCTGATTCCCAGTCAAACTTAATACTTCCAATTTAGATAGGTTATCAAATATTCCCGACTGTAAATGGCCTGCAGTGAGATTATTAGTTATAAAACATCTTTTAACTGATGAAAATATATTCAATACTAATAAAGATATAAAATCTGAAAAAAATATGATATTACGCATTTTAAGTTGTTAGAAGAAAGAGTAATGTTCTAGAGATAAGTTGGTTTTCTATTAAATAATTGAAATTCACCTTAAATATAAAATTAAATATATCATAATTTATTAATAGTTTTTCTAACAAACCCTTAAACTTATGAAAGTTACAAATATTTGAAATTATTCAATCCAAATACATTTTTACCCAAGAAATCGCTTATATAAAAATTTATGTATGCGAGGGAAGTACATTGGAAATTAATTTAGATCTCTTTTTTTCAGCGCAATAGGTTAATGTTCTGCATTTATTTTCCTTCTTTTAAAAAATAAAATTTTATTAAATTATTTTACTACTTATGAAAACTCCAAATAGTTGTAAGGTAATTGATTTAGAGAAGACTAACGATACAACTTATTTCAATATGTAGGTTATAATAACTTATTCATTTAGTCTGCCTTAATTTGATATTGGATAATTGGATGATGGTCCAAGTGTATATAAAAAACAGATAACAAAAAAAAATGAAGAAAAATTTGGAATTGTTCAAGTGAGAGTAGATGGCCTGCAATGAAAACGTTACTTATAAAATAAAATTTTTACTAGTGAAAATAAAGTTATATGTGGCAGAAAGGGAGGAAAGAGATGGAGCACTTAGAGAAAAGTATGGACCTGAAAGGTAATTTTCACAGAGGTATAGCAATTTCATGTTTGAAAGGTTTCCCATAGTCATAGGGATTTGTCCTTGAAGGTTGTTGTTGTAGAAAGCCAACGTTTCAAGTTTTGACAAATTCCCAAGAGTGGACGGGATAACACCCGTGAAGTTGTTACGGTACAACAACAAGCTTTGAAGATGAGCAAAACAACCAAACCATGATGGGATTTCTCCACTGAAGTTGTTGTTACCAAAGTTCAAATACTTCAGCCGATGCAAATTGGCTATCTCAGTAGGTAAAGAGCCATGGAAACTATTGTCATCAATGCTGAGGGAGGCAAGGAAAGATAAATTTCCTAATTGAGATGGGATGGTGCCCGTGAGATCCATACTTGACAAATTCAGAGCAGTGACTCTGTAGTGTCTGGATCCACAACTGACACCAATCCAATTGCAAACAGAGATAGAAGTGGACCAGTTGGTTGCTAAGAGATTATGTGGATCATGAGTTATATGGGATTTTAAGGCTAAAAGGGCGGATTCATCGGTGGTTATGTTGGCTGACAAAGTAGCTCTGAAGGTAGCAAATAGCAGCAGAAACATAAGAGGGAGGAAAGGAGTTTTTGCCATAAGGTTGGGTGTGGGTACAATGCAAATGAGAGAAACAGCTGAGTTATATGGGATTTTAAGGCTAAAAGGGATGATTCATCAGTGCCTTTAAATAATTTGGATAAGAAATATGGGGTACCAACCACAATACACTGCACAAAATGGAAGGCCTAAAATGCTAGACTTCATGTGGGCCCATATTTTACGATTCAATGGTTTTTCTTCTCAACGTATCATTTGAGTAATTTGAATATTAAAATTATTACAATAATTAAATTTACATACTTTCATATGAAATTCGAATAATTTATGGTTTTGATCAAATTTTTACTTTTAACATATTCTTTGATTATTACATACTTTCATATGAAATTCGAATAATTGATTTTGAATATAAATAATCGAAACTGAAACTAATTTTACTGAATCAAAAAGATTTGGGATAACATTTAAATTGTTTTGTTTGCTTAATCAATGAAAGCATATTCTACCCAAGTCCACGTCGAGTATTTGCATACGGTAGAAAAAGGAAAGCAAATATATATTGTTTTTTATTTTATTTATTTAGGGTGATTAAAATAGTAATATATATTTTAATATTCTCAATCATTTGACAATAAAAGCTTAAATACTTTGTGATGGTCATTAGTGCTCGAATCCGAGACTTCTAAAAATAATAATCATCTCTTTGAAATGATAGTTTTAGTTTGAAGAGTGTCTCAAAATAAATCAATACTTTAAACATAAAATGTATTATAGATCAATCATTATAATATCAAATGTTTAAATTAATTTAGTTTATTAACTCTGTAAAATATAAAATTAAAATATATTAGAGATCAATCATTACCAACTATGACATTTTTCACAGTTGCATGTATGCAAAAACATGACTGCAAATACAATCGAAACACCATTCATAAACCGAACATCAAACCAAAAACAGGACAGTGAACAAATCTTCACCCTTCCTTGAGCATCTGATGTCCTTCCACTTCTGTTTTATCATAATAAATAACAAAAGATAGACAATTTTCATGGAAAATCATTAAATTAATTATAAATATTATTATTATGCATTTGAAATGTATTTAAATTCAATTTTCAGTGGATTTCGAGGAGATTAGAGAATGGACGGAAACAAAGACTTAGAAGACTTTTAGAACAGAGTTGATCAAAAAGACTTAATTTTGATTGAGCATTGGAATCAAACACATCCATAAATCAACCCAAGTCCACGTCAACAAAGCGAATCAATAAAAGCAAATTCTACCCAAGTCCACGTCAAGAGTCTTCGCATGCCGTGGAAAAACCACTCTCTTATCAAGTCATTGTCGTGGAAAGCAAGTCATATTCAAATGAAAACAAGTATATATTGCTTTTTAAATGGTTATATGTAGTTATTCTTTTTAATTTTTGAAAAAAAGGTTTAGTTTGAAAAAATATATAAAAATAAATAAATAAACTAAATATAAAATATATTACAAATCAATCATCATAATATTAAATGTTTAAATTAATTTAGTTTATTAGCTTTGTAAAATATAAAACTAAAATATATTAGATCAATCATCCTCAACTATGATTTTTTTCATGGTTGCATGCACTTAGAATCTTGCGAAAAGTGATATCAACGTAAAACAAGATATATGTAAGCGATGTGATTTAACGTGGTTTGATTTTGTCTACTTTTACAAGCGAGAAAAATAATAATTCATTATAGACGTAGAGATCACGAAGCGTACAAATACATGATATCACATGCAACCCGTTTTTGAGATTTTGGTAGCCCTCGGGCTAATCAGAAATATCAGGTTAACATAAATCAGTAATATCATAAATCCATAGCCATATATATTTTGTATCATGGAACAGAGATTAGAAATCGTGTTTTATTTCATATAACAATCATACTTCTTAAAATCATAAAAAAATATCATGTGCATAGGGAAAGTAAACAAATACTATCAAACGTAAGGTAATTAATTTAAGGTAAGTTGATTAATTTAAGGTAATTACAAGTGGTAGTATGTATTTTAAATACTATCAATTATTTGACAATAAACGTTCAAATATTCTGTGATAGTCATCGGTGCTCGAACCTGAGTCCTCTAAAGATACAATAATCATCATTTCAATCACTGGGTCGTTTGGTTCGTGTAAATATATATTATTTTTTAATATTTGAAATATAGTTTTAATTTAAAGAGTGTCTCAAAATAAATAAATACTTAAAACATAAAAGGTACTCTTTTCCTCTGTTACTTACTCTTCACTAGTAGTTCTCAAACTTTGTCACATTCACACAAATCAAAGCCAGCCTGTTTTCAACACGGACTGTACCAATTTTTCTTTTTGCAGATTAATCAAACCATAGACTGCAAAATTCTACCGCAAATCTTGGTTGAAAACGCATCAATTAAGTAGCTAGTGCCGTGGCACAAACTCTTAAAATATCATATCAACTATTCATGTAACCATGGATGGAGAAAACATCATATCAATTAAGACGGGAGGACCCAAGCCCCACCCCTGGGGGAGAAAAACTTGATTCCACTTGAATAATGGGAATTTTCGGTTATACTCTACTAGAAAAAAAATTAAATTCGAGTTGAGTTATAAAATAAAATTCGAACAACTCAAATAACTAAAAATTTTTAGTAATTGATAAATTAATTTTCAAATTCAAATCAATTCCCTCAACTTTGTATGAGTATATATATATATATATATATATATCACATATGAAAAAATATATATGTATATTGTATATTATTATAAAAAAATATTTAAACTGAAATCAAATTATTTTAATATTACTAAAATTAAGTCCTACCCCTCCTAATATTTTTGTTTCATTTATTCTTTAGGCTATTACTTTTAAGGGTAAAGTATACAAATGGTCCTCTGACTATAGGATTTTGTAACACCCCTAATCTAGTTTTATTTTAATTGGATCTTTTATTTAATTAATTTAAGGAACTAGTTTGAGTTTTTAAAGTTTCAGGCCAGTTTTCTGATTTCTTTGAAAATGCAGGTACTCATTTCTTGATATGACCATTGTAAGTAATCAAAGAAAAAAGGGGTAAAGACAATGCGACTGGCACGGTTTGAAATTGTGACCAGCAAGAGAAGGGGAGCCGTGCCCTGACCATTAGCCTAGGGCATTGTTTGTGTTAGTATTTCTTTTAAAAACTTTTTAAGAGTTATCATATGGGATTTTTAATCCCAAAATCAGTTTGATCTCAGCTAGAACAAAAAATCCCCAATTATTTTTAACTCCCATCATCGTTGTCGTTTCCCTTGAGCCACCGTTGTCCAATAGTCATGGCAGTCACCGCCACCAACATCTTGATCACCGCTCAACCGCGACCAAAACCCCTCAACCAATTCGTTGAAATCCCTCGCCATTCACCGTGAATCGGCATTTGTTTGGTCGTCGAAAACCCAAAACGACTGTCGCGAGTTTTCACAATTTTGCATTAAGATCCCGTTGTCAGTTCGCTTCACCGCCACCACCGTTGGACTTCTCATCTAGTTCCGGTCAAAACCCGATCGGATTCGTTACTTTACCATCGTTCTATCGTTATCCTCCGTGGGTAAACCTCCGATCTCCTTCTCCGTTCATCGTACGTTGAGTTGGTTGGATTTTGGGTTGTTTTGAGTTGAATGCAACAAGTAGAAAAGTTGGGAGTGATCAGTCGATCGAAATCATACCCGTCATCCTAGCATGCACTTTCACGCGCCGCCATGGCGTGTGGGCTTCGCTCCTTGTTTGAATTTTCTAGAACCGGTCCAAGTCAACTCGAAACAGACTGAGTCAACTCGAACCGGTTTGAGCCAACCCAGACTGATTAAATTATTAACTTTGACTGAACCTTTGACTTTAACTCTATTCATTAGCTTTGACCAATGTTGACTTAACTAGGGTTGACTTTGACTAAAATGTCAAAAAAAATTATAAATGCCTATTTTATATTTTTTTGATGTCTTGAGTCTGAATTTAAAGTCCTTTTTACCAAATTCTAACACGAAAGCCCCTCAAATCGAGTGTTAAACCCAGCATGCATATGTAATTAAATTATTTTAATTAAGTGATTTTAAATTTAGGTCAAGTACAGATTGATGTTTGTTAATTATTGAAGGTACTCGATACTCTCCCGATCGCTTGTCAGCTTGACCCAGCTACTCTCGATTTGTCAGACTGCACGAGCCCGTAATTACTCGTATAGTTTCATAAACCCTATAAATAATTAAATTTAAATATTATTTTAGTCATAATCAGGATTTCATTATAGTTTAGGTTTGAGTTTCAATGTAGAGCATAGCGAGGTCAGTGCCCAATAGACTTCCCTGATTGATTCCTTTTTGAGGTGTGTTCCTGATGTGCTAAATAAATGTTTTATTTATTTTGAAATGTGATGGTTGCCTGAATTGTTTTGTAAATGTTTTACTTGATAAATACCATGATTTCCTCATTTATTGATTATGAATTATGTTTACACGATACATGCTGTCTGGTTATCTGTTTTACTAAGAAATATAAATATATTTGATTTATGGATCATGGACATATTGTTACTACATGTATTATTTTATTTTGGATATTATCTGGGTAGGCTGGAATATGGAGGTTCAGGTCTGATCAAGCTTCTAAATCCTTATGGACCTAAGGTGAACCTTGGGTAGGCTCTTAGACCCCGAGATGTTCCCTTCGGTAGGCTCTCAAGACCCAAGGTGCTTTCTTGGGTAGGCTCTAAGGCCCCAAGGTATTCCTTGGGTAGGCTTTGAGGCGCCAAGGCATTACCTTATGTTGGCTCCTAGGTACAATTGGCCTAGGGTAAGCCCTTATGAATGCAGTTCTGGGAAACTGCATATGGTGTACGGGTGGAAGGAACTAAATGTTTATTTTTTACTGAAAACTTTATTGTCACTCTTATGAAATTTTTGCTGAATTATTTTCTAAAATTTACTATTTTGAATTATTATGCACTTTTGGAAAACACTAAGCTCTCTAGCTCACCTCTTGAATTTTTCCCTTTCAAATACTTTTGGATAGGCACCCTCGGACTAGG